AAATATTTTGTTAAAACATTTAGAACAAAAGAAGTGTAGAATTCCATGATCTTTCAAATGATATCTTTTAAAAAGGGCTGGCCCCTAAAATTAAGGGCCTAGAGGGGCCGAAAGTTTTTCCTTTATATCTCATAAAGTATTGAGAATTTGTAATACATCAAAGAGGCAAAGTTTTTCAAAATGTCAAGCTCAATCTATTGGAGTAATCAAAATACGTCCGTCGTCGTCACTTCCGGCCAAACCGGAAGTAGTCGAAAAACGCAAATTTTTGCCGTTCTTAACCCATTTTTGAGTAACTTATGTCTCTGGGAGCATAAAAATTAATTTTCCATCCGTCGTCATCACTTCCGGTCAAACCGGAAGTAGCAAAAATAGCTTATTTTTGCATTAATTAACATAAATTAAGGCGATTTTTTCATTTTAGGTGTTATTATTCACTTTTGTTACTTCCGGTTACTTCCGGTCAAACAGGACGGAAGACCTACTCGTTGCTTTGCAACGAGCTTTGCTCTAGTTATTATTATTATTTGTCTGACACGATTTCTCGACAACTACTGGATAGAATTACATGAAATTTTCAGGAAAGATGTGTTGTAAGATACTCTTGAAAGTTCCAAGACAGTTTTTGGAAATTCCTCTTTGGTGCCAAGTTTTGGACCATTTTCCTGATTTTAAAACGACATTTTGTCCACGATTAAACTCAAAAACGGTAAAAGATATCAATGTGAAACTTTCAGAGTTTACAGATGATGATCAATACTTTCCAGGACGCAACTTTTCGTTCGTCGTCAGTACTTCCTGTCGCTACCAGAAGCCAATTCAAAAAGTCCAAATTTTCAACTTTCTTTGTTTTTCAATATTTTTCATTTATTTTTGGAATATTAATAGAGACACTTCTATTGATGCTTACTATATAAGTTGTTTTAATATTGGTTAATCTGAACTTTAGATATTAATATTTGAAAATCTGAAGCGGGCCCAAGATGGCGGCTGTCTCTGTCAACTCCGACATTTCGCGAGTAGGGGCTTACGGAGGCAGCTGAGCGTTTGATTAAACCATTCTGACATATGGATACATGAAATGCAAAAAACTACTTGGACTCTCACGTAGTAGCACGTTGCAATTCAGTGTCAATCTTAAAAAACTTAATTTACGTTTCACTGCTTTAGTGTTACTGGGCTAGATACGATATGTAATGTGTACAATGTGTTAAATATACTTTCCTAACGCCGAAATAAAATAAAGGTAATAAGAATGTTTTATTTAATTAATTTCATTGAAGCTATTGCACCTCTTTAATAGATCAGTACAAAGAAAAGGTGCGAATATTTACGCGTGGCGTTTGACAAAATTATGAATAGTGGCCCGCCTTTTATGATTCTTAGACAGGTGTACTGTTGCAAAAGTATACACAAGTATATTTAAAGCAGTATTCCCAATAGCTAAATGGTTCGCGCGTTGGGGAGAAAAGAGAAAAAAAGGCGCATTCACGTTGGCGACCTGGATTCACTCCTCCTTGTGATCAAAATTTTGAATCACTTTTTAGTTCGATTTTACAAGTTTTTTTTTCCTGAATCGGACGGAAGACCTCTCGTTGCTCGCAACGAGATCGTATTTAGTTTTATTTTCTTTTTGAGTTGTTTGCTATAGTAGCCTTTACAGTTACCTAATTTCAGAATCAATAGAGCATGAGAGCCAATTAAATTTGCAACATCAACATAATTTTTTTTTCGTTCTGAGCACTTTTGGACGCCACCAATGGAGACAATTAGGGAGAAATTTTTGAAATTGAACTTCCTGTCTTTCAAACTGAAAATCTCAGGTTGATATTTTGAAACAAACATTTGTGACATCAGTTTGGGATCTTATTGGTTATACCATTTAGTTAAGTACTACAAAAATTCAGTGTGTCTGCTTCTTCGCTGATGACACTGGAAAAGATATGCATGCCTACTTTAATATCATCATTCAATGCATTTTTTGTTATTGTACACTGTACATATTCGATGAAAGCATGCTAACCGCTTTTCAGTACTTTCAGTACTTTGATTTTTTTTATTAGTGTTTATGCAGACAAGAGTGGGAGACAATTCCATGCGTCACCTATCACCAGTTACTAATTGTTCTAATCTCCTGGACCAGTTCAATGCTTTAGGAGAGGATTGTTTTAAGTCAAATTATAAGATCCCAGAAGTCTCCGGGCCCGTGGTATTTGATGCAGAAGTATGGAAAACAAGATGAGTTTGTGAAACACTGATGCCCCCGTATGGCAACATAGCGAAGGTTAAGCTTTCTCAAATGCAGATCAAATATGTTGGTACCAAAAGTAAGGCTTTTTCACAAGAAATACAAAATAATAAACGCTAGCTACACCTGTTCCAGGGTTATGACCAAGGTTAACATTTTATAAGATAGGACAAACTCCGGGTCAAGGTCAAAGGGTCAAGGTTGTTGGTTTCTAAAGAAAGGCCTTGTTTCAAAGATTACGTATGGGAAGTATGAAAGCGCTGGCCCTTACCGTTCAAAAGTTATGGCCAAGGTTAAAGTTTGTAAAAAGTAGGTCAAACTCTAAGGTCAAGGTCAAGGGTCAAGATTCTTGAAATCCAATGAAAGGTCTTGTCACAAGGATTACACATGTGAAATATGAAAGCTCTAGTCCCTACTGTACAAAAGTTATGGTCAAGGTTAAAGTTTGTAAAAGTAGGTCAAACTCCAAGGTCAAGGTCAAAGGGTCATGGTTCTTTATATCACATGAAAGGTCTTGTCAGAAGAATTAAATTTGTGAAGTATGAATGCCCTAGTCCTAACCCTTCAAAAAATATTGTCAATGTTGTATTTTTAAAGTAGGTCAAACTCAAAGGTCAAGGGGTCAAGGTTCTTGGTATCCAATGGAAGGTCTTTTTACAAAAATTACATATGTGAAGTATGAAAGCCCTAGTATTTATTGTTCAAAAGTTATAGACAAGGTTAAAGTTTTTTCATAAGTATGGAAATCTCCAAGGTCAAGATCAAAAGTATCCAATGAAAGGTCTTTCCACAAAGAATACATATGTCAAGTATAAATGTCCTGGTATCTATTGTTCAAAAGATATGGTCAAAGTTAAAGTTCAAAATTTTTGTGTTAAAGTGGGTCAAACTCCAAGGTCAAGGTCAAAAGGTCAAATTTGGTGATACGCAAAGAAAGGCCTTGTCACAAGAAATACACATGTGAAATATAAATGTCATAGCTCTACTAAATCAAAAGTTATAGGCAAGGTTAAAGATTTTGCGGACAAACAGACAGACAGGGAGACAGACAGACAGACAGACGGACACGACAAAAACTTTATACCCCCGAAACTTCGTTTACGGGGGCATAAAAATACCATAACATTACCATAACATTAATAGTTAAAACTAGGGATGGCAATCGATTACAGAATTGCTAATCGGTTAACCGCAAGACGTTCCGACCGATTAATCCGTTAATCGTATCAATTATTAACTACACTTTTTTTTTTATTTTATCTGTATTCATTTACACAAGAAAACTGAAAAGAGAATTATAAGAAATTAGAAACATTCTGCTCATTATCTTGATCAGAAAACTATATGTACATATAAATTATTTTATTTCAATTTCAATACATGTAGTTAGACAAGAAAAATTTAGAAAAGCCACTACTGTTCAAAAGTTATGGTCAAGGTTAAAGTTTGTAAAAGTAGTTCAAACTCCAAGGTCAAGGTCAAAGGGTCATGGTTCTTGATATCACATGAAAGGTCTTGTCACAAGAATTAAATTTGTGAAGCATGAATGCCCTTATCCTAACCCTTCAAAAATTAAGGTCAATGTTGTATTTTTAAAGTAGGTCAAACTCAAAGGTCAAGGTTCTTGGTATCCAATGGAAGATCTTTTCACAAGAATTACATATGTGAAGTATGAAAGCCCTAGTATTTATTGTTCAAAAGTTATAGACAAGGTTAAAGTTTTTTCATAAGTATGGAAATCTCCAAGGTCAAGATCAAAAGGTTAAAATTGTTGGTATCCAATGAAAGGTCTTTCCACAAAGAATACATATGTCAAGTATAAATGTCCTGGTATCTATTGTTCAAAAGATATGGTCAAAGTAAAAGTTAAAACTTTTTGTGTTAAAGTGGGTCAAACTCTAAGGTCAAGGTCAAAAGGTCAAATTTGGTGGTACCCAAAGAAAGGCCTTGTCACAAGGAATACACATGTGAAATATAAATGTCATAGCTCCACTAAATCAAAAGTTATAGGCAAGGTTAAAGTTTTTGCGGACAAACAGACAAACAGACAGACGGATGGACACGACAAAAACTATACACCCCCGAAACTTCGTTTACGGGGGCATAAAAATCCAAAACCAATTCCATCCATTAACCACTGAGAATTTTTGTTATCGCCTGGTCCCCTGAACTCCTTATACACGTATTTTTTTGCAGTTACCATCATTTGTTTTGGAATGTTTTATCTTATAGGTGTGCATTGAGGTTTTTGACTTTTCGTTTCACCCTTGGGGTGATGGGGGGTAAAAGTTCTTATTTTTTTCATGCAAAAGTCTGGTTTCTTGAATTCTTCATACCCTTCTCTTGTATTCCAACCATAGTTTGAAATGATGTAATTGAGAGTCATGCAGTAAGATTCCAGAGTTTTGATGTTCACCCTGGAGGCAAATGGGCTTCAAAAATGTTTTCTGCAATTCGTTGCTTCCCTGAACTCTTTTTACATTCTTTATAGTGACTGCAGTGACCAGCTCATAGTTTGAAATGTGGTTGGGAGTGTGTTTTTAGATGTGCAATAAGGTTTTGGAATGTTTGTTTTTACCCTAGGTTTGAAAGAGGTTAAAAAGCCTCGTATTTTTGAAAGAAAAAAAAACGCCTCCTACTTTCTCTAACATTTTTTTTGCAGAAGCTGATGCACAATTTAGAATGTGATTGGGAGTTTTGGAATTTGATTTTCATCCAACGGCTTAAAATACTTGAAAATCACATAAAACTTCAAATTCATTTATTGTATAGTGAAATATGCATCCAGAACCTCTCAGAAACATGTACATGTAGAAAACTGGTATATACATCATAGAACAGCTTTGCTATGTACCATTGTGAAAATTTTGATGGCCCCGAAATCAAGATAATAATCTGATAGGTATAATGATTGGAAATGTACATTGGAATTCACCGATATGATGTCTTTTTGAATTCTTCTCAATTTTCCTTCTTTCTATAGACAGCAACAAACTCTGTAAATAAAAGGAAAAGCATTCAATGACGAAGCAAAGTAAAAACCCATGAAGAAGGAGAATATATATTTGGAGGCAAACACTTAGGTGCATGTTTTACTGTCTGATGGGAACATTTGGTTTTACGTTTGCAGTCTGGCCAATCAGAAGGATAGAAATTGTGTTTTTTGTTGTTCATTGACCCTACCTTGTGAAATTTGCTTAAAATTAGTTAGTTTATTCAACCGAGATTTAAATTGACTACGGACAGGCCTTTTATTTACAAAATATACTGTTTCATTTAAGTTGGATTAAAAAAATTGTATTCCCTGGACAAACTATTGAATGAATAGTAAGTAAAGATTTGCTATTACAAACTCAGAGAGAGACCAAATGAGCTCATAAGTCCATTGAACAATATAAATTTTGAGCAGAGCAAACACGGAACTCCTAAACATCATAGGTGGGATCAGGTGCCATGGAGGAGTGAGCATCCCCTGTCGACTGGGGGCACCTGTCGTATGCCTCTTGATATGATCAGGAAAAAGAACATCTGTAGAAATTTATTGTGTAAATAATTGCCTAACAATTTGTATGCAAAAAGTCAGCTAATATTCGACTTAATGATTGATTGTTTTTACTTACATTGTTATTGTACCGAATATAGAGTTTGCCAAACTAGTATCTTGCAGTGGTTTAGAAGAAACTACTTGTAGAACAAATGTATTTCTATAGCATACCTTTACCTCGAATCGCAGATCTCTTTTGTTTCACCGTGATTGTACTTTTAAAATTGATTTGCCTAATATGAAGATTACAGCTAAATCATCATCAAATTTCTGACTCCAGTTTCTATATTCATGTACAAAGTTGAGAGGGAATGAAAAATAACCTTAACAATTTATAATAATAAACGAAATGATTAATGACTAAGGCAAAGCTGACCCTTGAAAACATCATAGGTGAGATCAGCTGCTTTGGAAGTGTAAGCATCCTTTTGTCGACCATCTTATCACAGCTCAACTTAGATGATCTCTGTTGGATACTGGGTATTTAATAACAAGAGGCCCAGGGGCCACAGTGCTCACCTGAGCACATCGGGCTTGAATTTACTCCCCCGCCCCCCTCCAGGCGGTCATCATTTGAACAAACTAGAATCTACACTACCTGAGGATGATTCCATATAAATATCACTAAACATAGCTTTGAAGTACTTGAAAAGAAGATTTTAAAAGGTTTCCCTATATATCCTTATGTAAAACTTGGGTCGGCCATTTTGGCCCCACCCTAGCCCTGGGGGTCATGATTTGAACAAACTTGAATCTGCACTACCTGAGGATGATTCCACATGAGTTTCATCTTTCCTGGCCCAGTGGTTCTGGAGAAGAAGATTTTTAAAGATTTTTCCTATATATTCCTATGTAAAACTTGGGTTGGCCATTTTGGCCCCATCCTAGCCCCGGGGGTCATAATTTGAACAAACTTGAATCTGCACTACCTGAGGATGATTCCACATGTGTTTCATCTTTCCTGGCCCAGTGGTTCTGGAGAAGAAGATTTTTAAAGATTTTTCCTATATATTCCTTTGTAAAAATTGGGTCGGCCATTTTGGCCCCACCCTAGCCCTAGGGGTCATGATTTGAACAAACTTGAATCTGCACTACCTGAGGATGATTCCACATGAGTTTCATCTTTCCTGGCCCGGTGGTTCTGGAGAAGAAGATTTTTAAAGATTTTTCCTATATATTCCTATGTAAAACTTGGGTCGGCCATTTTGGCCCCACCCTAGCCCCGGGGGTCATGATTTGAACAAACTTGAATCTGCACTACCTGAGGATGATTCCACCTGAGTTTCATCTTTCCTGGCCCAGTGGTTCTGGAGAAGAAGATTTTTAAAGATTTTTCCTATATATTCCTATGTAAAACTTGGGTCGGCCATTTTGGCCCCACCCTTGCCCCGGGGGTCATGATTTGAACAAATTTGAATCTACACTACCTGAGGATAATTCCATATGAGTTTCATCTTTCTTGGCCCAGTGGTTCTTGCGAAGAAGATTTTTGAAGATTTTTCCTATATATTCCTTTGTAAAACTTTGGTCAGCCATTTTGGCCCCACCCTTGCCCTGGGGGTCATGATTTGAACAAACTTGAATCTGCACTACCTGAGGATGATTCCACATGAGTTTCATCTTTCCTGGCCCGGTGGTTCTGGAGAAGAAGATTTTTAAAGATTTTTCCTATATATTCCTATGTAAAACTTGGGTCGGCCATTTTGGCCCCACCCTAGCCCCGGGGGTCATGATTTGAACAAACTTGAATCTGCACTACCTGAGGATGATTCCCATGTAAATATGATGAATTCCTGGCCCAGTGGTTCTGGAGAAGAAGATTTTTAAAGATTTTTCCTATATATTCCTATGTAAAACTTTGGTCGGCCATTTTGGCCCCACCCTTGCCCCGGGGGTCATGATTTGAACAAACTTGAATCTGCACTACCTGAGGATGATTCCACATGAGTTTCATCTTTCCTGGCCCAGTGGTTCTGGAAAAAAAGATTTTTAAAGATTTTTCCTATATATTCCTATGTAAAGCTAGGGTCGGCCATTTTGGCCCCACCCTTGCCCCGGGGGTCATGATTTGAACAAATCTGAATCTGCACTACCTGAGGATGATTCCACCTGAGTTTCATCTTTCCTGGCCCAGTGGTTCTGGAGAAGAAGATTTTTAAAGATTTTTCCTATATATTCCTATGTAAAACTTGGGTCGGCCATTTTGGCCCCACCCTTGCCCCGGGGGTCATGATTTGAACAAACTTGAATCTACACTACCTGAGGATGATTCCACCTGAGTTTCATCTTTCCTGGCCCAGCGGTTCTGGAGAAGAAGATTTTTTAAAAATGCCATTAATTTTTAACAAATTCATCATTATCTCCCCTTGGAAAAGGGCGTGGCCCTTCATTTGAACAAACTTGAATCCCCTTCACCCAAGGATGCTTTGTGCCAAGTTTGGTTGAAATCGGCCCAGTGGTTCTTGAGAAGAAGTCGAAAATGTGAAAAGTTTACAGACAGACGGACAGACAGACAGACAGACAGACGGACGCCGGACAAAATGTGATCAGAAAAGCTCACTTGAGCCTTCGGCTCAGGTGAGCTAAAAAATTCAACCAATACCGTCAAACGTGAGTTCCCCGTCGCCGTCTGTGTCCCCCTCCTTCACCAGTTCGTCAGCGTCTGACCTCGAGATTCCCATTGTCTTGGCAATTTCTCTGGCTGTGATTGTTCCGTCGCCGTTAACGTCCATCTTTGCAAAGCATTTCTCTAGAAATTGTATCTCCATAATCTGGCCCTCCAGTTGCTCCACCATCATTTTCTCGTACTCCTTATAGCTTAGATAATCGTCACCTGTATAAGACATTAAACATGAAAAGAAAGCCCCTCAAAATTCGCTAAGTCTCGACAAAGTGAATAGTGAAGGGAGGGGGCACTGATGGCTTGAACAGACTGTACATGTAATTGTGATCCCAAATTGTTAAAGACATTGCAGATAGAACAAGAAGTGTATATAAAATAATGATGTCTGTAAGTGACAGCTTTTTCAAAAGTACATCAAACTCAAACTAAGGGGTAAAATAACCGGGTAAAAAAATATTGAATTCACATTCACGACTGCAACTTGACAGATTGAGCACCCATTTTAAGTAAGTTCTGGCCAAAATTAAAGGTTTACAAAAGTACATCAAAGTGGAAAATCAAGGTGTCAAAAACATTCATAAATATAAATGCCCTAGCACCAACCATTAAAAAGTTTTGGTCATTGTTAACGTTTTACATTAGGCGCACAAAAGAAGAAAAAAATCAAGGCCATGGGGATTTAAGCGGGGATTTCGCCGTGCCCCTTACCCCGGTAGTTTTGCCGATATACATGTATTGGGTAGTATTGACAACAATGCTTAGAAATATTATGTCTGTGTCCCCACAATGATGTATGATAACTTTTTTTCTTTCCTGACTGGTCTACGAATTTTTGGTAGAACATCCATGAACTGAAAATGTTTGCTTTTGCCCCCCCCCCCCCAACTGAACTTGCTTCTTACAGATCTGACAATACAATATCAAAGTCATGAGATTAGATCTGTATTAAAACAGACATCCTCTACAAGAAAATATAAAAGCCTGAGCATCAATGATGACCTCATCTGCTTTATGATCGTTTTGATATTTTTATTCAAAGGCATACACTTGATGTTATTCAATTGTCTCAACGCTACACAATTTGCCTTAAGGTACTCCGATCCTCAGCCATGAAGGATAAATCTTTATTCATAATTTAATTCAAAAAGTCTAAAAATGAAGCTTGAAAATTATATTTTTTCATGCAACAACTTTCATTTTATACCTCTAAATGTGCTTCGAGGTTCTTTGAAGTTCTCAGAAACGTCTTATAAAAGTAAACATTTTACCCATAAAAGTACTTGTATTTTAAAATTATATTAAAAGAAATTGATCTTCTTTTGATCTAACCATAGATACAATGTTTCTCAACTTGATATGAAATAAGATGTGATTTATGGTGTTTTGCAGTGATAGGAACATCGTTATATACTATGCATTGTAAAATGATCAAAGTAAATAGAAGAAACTTAACTACCTTATATGTATAAAAATTTTGCAATTTCTTCAAAAACCTACAAATGATTTCTATTTATAAAATGTGTTTAATTAAATTTGAATCGGAAAATGCATAGTAGGTGTTTTTATTCGCATTTCCTGAAAATTTATTTGAGATTTACTAATTTTCCTATTTAATATGATTAAGTTTAAAGATAAAGTCTGAAGAATTCTCCTGGATAAAACACATTACTTTGAGAATATAAGATATTTTTGTAGGCATTTTTCAATTTGTCAATCCTGATTTTCTTAAACTGAGGATTAGAGTACATTAATTCGCATGTTGCAGTCAATGTTTCATATAAATCAATGACCTTATATTCCAAAATTAGTTTAATTACTTTTTGTCTGTGGGTGGACTTTTACACAGGAAACAAACAACACCAAAAAATCTCACAAATCTCTCTGCTTCACAAGGTGTGAAGTAATGCAGACACCTGCTGCTTCCGAACAGAACCACAAGATCAATGCTTCTTCCTCTGATAAAAATCTTGAAAACTGATTGGACGAGAAGAATACTGTATTAAACCGTATCATGATGTCTACATATTAGATACTGTTAGAATGCCCCCTAACTGACAAATCTATACCCCCCCCCCTTCAAGTGACCGGTTTCCGTTATCTTCAGACAATAATGCAAGGGATCTACGGAAGCGTATACAAGTGCTTTGTGATGTTTTTAAAGTTGATATTTCCAACCTCAAAGTTGACTTTTCTAACTTCAAAGTTGGTAATTGAATAATTCCAACTTTAATGTCGGCTACTCTAACCTCAAACTCGATAATTCCAACTTAAATCTTGGCTTTCCCAACTTTATAATCTCGAATTTTCCAACTTTAATTTAAGGGGCAATATAAAAACCATCATGGCATGTATCCTTCTGTATTCAATAAAATATGAAGTGAAAAAGAATTACTAGTAGATAGATTATATGATCTGTACGTACTGGTCCCTGCTGACAAAGCAGGTAACAACATTGTCTTCGTTTGGAAGGCTCATTATGTAAATTGCATTTTAGAAGAACTTGAATTTAATTCTACAAGTGATAATCCAACCTATACTCATAGTCCCCTTTCTAAGGAAGAAATTATTTAAAATCATATATCAGTTTTAAATTTTTTTAATATCCCAAATAACCAAAATAAATTTGAACTACCACATGTACTAGTATATATATTGGATTCCGAAACTTCATATTAAGAATCCTTAAAAACAAACTTTTAAGATACAAAAGCGGGTGCCAGCCTCTTTATTTTACTCCTCATTAAGGAATTAACGGCAGTGAAGGGGAAACTTCAAGAGTACTGAGCAACAATATATTCAAGAAGTGGTGTAAATCAGATTTATATCATTAAGAAAGAGGGTATGATAAACTTGGGTTTGGGATGTCAAAGCATAAGCATAAAAGAAAGAACAATGAAAAAATGGGCTTATAAAGAAACTCGATCATCTTATTATTGTAAAATGTAGTCAAAGCTCTCTATACATGTCTTATACAGGTTTTTTTTAGTCGAGAAGTCTTACAGTTAATTATTGAACCTACCTACACCCTAACAAAGAACCATCACTGGTAGTTTGATAGTTAGCATGTTTACTGTGAGGAAAATTACGTTTCCGCGTTAATTTTCCTGTGTATGACAACGCTGCTGCAAACAAGAAGGAGATGTAGGGATAATTTTAAAAGAACGTTTACAGAATTTAACATACCCACGGTATTCATTAGATCTTAATGAGTTCTCTTTAACCTCTCTACCCCAAGTATCCATGAAAATGAGAATAATGAGTTGTTCTGATCGTAAGTACAAAGACTTAAGACATGTAATGGTCAAAAGGGAATATCTTGAAGGATGAAATTAAAAAGACACTGCTTTTTGTGTTTTCCCTGTTTTAGATCACACTTTTCATTTCTTATTAAACGGACTTCGTATATCAGCTTCAACATACAATATAAACAAGTTTATCTTTTTAAAAAGATAGGTGAGCTAGCGCCATAGCAATTTTTAAACACAGAAAGGAAGGTCCGTGATCAAGTGATTTAATTTGCTGAATTCTTTGAATAATGTTTATCGAGGGTGGAGTGTGATAAAGTTATAATGGTCTTGTGAAGTGTATTTTATAGACACATAGGTAAAGAAACGAGGGGTGTGTGTGAAGTTTTAATTGTGTTGACCTATTGGAGTTTTGACGCAACGGAATATTTATGCCCTTTACTGGAGAGGGGGGGACTCTATATAATATGGTGACGATGCTGATTGAGGCATTGTATGAGCTGGTTTAAAAGAATAGAATTTCTTGGCAATGTACATGTAGCAAAGAAAATACAGGGGAGTTAAAAGGAATATAGAAAATAACTCAAAGTGTATGTTGTATAAAGAAATCCAGAGAGTTCCGAATGTGAAGATGTGAAGTAGCTTGGTCGTTTCACCACTTTGGGTCATCTTTGTCAAACACAGTTAGGTTAAAAGCCATACACATCAGAATTTTTCTTTTATAAATTATGGATTTATTCGTTATTTTTAGTGTAAATTCTTGTTTCTGGAATTTGTAAGATTGGCTGAATTGACCAATCAGAAATTAGAGTCTGTCTTTTGTTTTGCTTTGTTTAGAACAATCAGATAATGACTTGGGCTTTTCCGTCAGAAAAAAGGGAAATTTGAAGTATTACAATTATGTAGTTATTTAATGATACAACGAATTTGTTATCGTACGGTCTATCTATAGTAGTTTTCACAATTTTCCAAGAAAGCACGACCGTGAAGCCGAGCATGCGTATTCAAGGAATTTGGACTAACGTAGTTAGAGCGCTAGCAATTATCACACAGTTATGAGTCCATAACGAAAAAAATCCTACATACTGTATTACAGTGTATATCCTCCAAAACATATAAGATGAAAAAGGATATTCCAAACGATTGAAAAAAAGGCCATCATCAAGCTGCCCAAGACAGCTTACAAAATAAATCGGATTTAAGCACAGGGGCTTGTCACGAAATATTTATCTTCTTTTAATAAAGTTACCCCTACTATAAAAATACACAAGGGAGGAATCTAAAAATAGGAAATTCGCTACCACAAATTTTGACCGGACTTTCTATCTTGTTTCTGGGCGACTTTCGTTGCGGACCAAAAAGGAGTGAGTGGAGTATAGATTCAATTTTAATATTCTTCAGTCAAATTCTAATCAACGCGTACCGTTAGTCATATAACTAACCTCTTTTCTCGATATTTGGATCTGGCGACAGTTCTTTCCATATGAATTTCCGGCATAAATTGAATGCAGGGCTCTGATTGGTTGCTTTTTGTAAATAACTCGTACACAAAGTAGCTCTTTAATTTAGTGCACCAAACATAAGGAAAATCAAACTGTCGTGATGGCATTGAACAATACAGCTGTGGTTTCATTGTACGTATTTTACTATATTTGGTTATATTTATTTATATAAACATGTTAAATATCCTTCACTAAGCATGTCAATCCTTACAGTTTATATTTTGTGTACGAGTTATTATCATTTTACAAACAGCGTGACAGTTTGCTTGATAGGGCGTGCTAAAATTCTGTATGCTGATTATAATTTTACTCATCGATTGGATGTTTGATTTCAATGGAATCAATAATAATTTGCATATGAAACCAAGAATACAACAATATCCTGATAATACTGGCCAATCACATTGAATGATTGTTCACCAGGCATTTGTACTCACCAGCAACACGTGGTCTCTCTAAGACCGATTTCTGTCCTTAAAAAAGCGTGTATTATACCTGGTATTTGTTGTGATTTGACCGCATGGGGTTTTGTATACGTGCATGTATAAGAAAACTCACAGAATGGAGTTAGTAAGCAAGGCTACTCTGCTACTGTCCTATTATGTAGCTATCATTATAGGTTGTAAAACTTGCTTTGTCCGTCCACATGTAATTGTTGTTTACTGCATACTCGTAAACATGTCATTCAATACGATTGGTCAGTATTGTCAGTGGTATTGTTGGGTACTCTGTTTCATATGCAAAGTATTATTGATTCCATTGAAATCAATCGTCCAATCGATGAGTAAAAATGATAATCAGCATACAAAATTTTAGCACGCCCTATCAAGCACAGTGTCACGCTGTTTGTAAAACGATAATATCTACAGAAAGCAACCAATCAGAGCGCTGCTTTCAATTGACGCATATGGCAAGAACTGTCGCCAGATCCAAATATCGAGAAAAGAGGTTAGTTATATGACTAACGGTATCCGTTGATTACAATTTGACTGAAGAATATTAAAATTGAATCTATACTCCACTCACTCCTACTTGGTCCGCAACGAAAGTCGCCCAGAAACAAGATAGAAAGTCCGGTCAAAATTTGTGGTAGCGAATTTCCTATTTTTAGATTCCTCCCTTGTGTATTTTTATAGTAGGGGTAACTTTATTAAAAGAAGATAAATATTTCGTGACAAGCCCCTGTGATTTAAGGTCAAAAACAAACAGACACAGGATTTATGAGAAAAACCACTAGCACCAGAAATCTAGTATTGATCAAGGCAAATGAGGATGTAGAGGAGTTCACATAACTGGGTAACAAGGTCATCACAACGGTCGACTGTGACAAGGAAGCCGACACAAGGATCGGTCACAATCAGGCTTTTGCAATGTTGAAGACCATATTGAGACCCATACCAGTCCACACCAAGATCAGGATCTCCACAGCAACCTTCTAAAAGTCCTCCGGTATGGATCAGAGTGCTAAAAGTTTTTTTGGCGATCTAAAGAAAACTAGAAGTCTTCCAAAACCAAATCCCTTAGACGCATCCTGGAGGTCTTTTGACTAAACACCATGTTTAATGAAGAACTAATAAAGAAACTGGGATGCCAACAATATCACAGATCATCGAATCTTTATTACTATTAAATACAAAATTTAAATCTGATTTTTAACTCACCGTCGTCGTCGATTAGCTTGAACATCTCCTTCACCTGGGCTGTGGTCACATTCTGACCCATCTTATTGGCAGCGTCCCTGAACTCTTTGATTGACAGGCGCCCATCTCCATTCACGTCCATGGCACGAAACGACGCCTTAATTTCTGTAAATGTAGACTTTCTTCATTAAAAAAAATTCCTTTTGAAAAAATGATTTTACAGTAGGATTTCCCCACCGAAAAATGACTCTAGAGTAGGAATTTTCCCCACGATTATCCAACACTTTATTAAATTTTTCGGGGGAATTCTAGTACTGAGTACCTACTCTGTGTTGTATATATCTAATTAAATTCCCCATAGAGCTTATCTCCCAAATAAAAATTAGTAGTGTTACTATGTATGAAATGGAGGGGTAACGCAGTTTTATAGAAAACATCATCAATCACTTCATCGAATACATCATAAATCACATCCAATTTCATACCATGCTAATAAACATTCGTACAAGGCCAGATCATAAAAAATCCACTTCTTTAAATATATATTTTTCTTACATTGATTGCCTGACGTCACGGCGTCAGGCACTACTAAGAATCAATATTTCCTAGGTGCGAAGCTAAGAGGTCACAGTTAGCCAGCAAAATTTTGTGCATGCAGATTATCATCGGATTTTGTAACATGCGTTTCAGCAACCACAGTTAGCAGAAAAAATAACCATATTGCTGATACAATACATTGATGTATTTTTTCCTTTAGCTTTTTGCTAGGAGCTATTTATTTCATGCAAGTTCTTATACGGACATGTCCGTTTAACCTTTTTTCTGCGTTTCTATACCACTGGATTAGTCCATTTGTCTTCTAGGTAAGGGGTGACACAATCATTTCGCGCCAAAATGTCACGTGTGAGTTTAAAGAGTAGTACGCCCTCGTATATGGTGTATGGGGAGACTGGGCGATTCCCATTGTATATTACTATTTTTACAAGAATGATCTCCTACTGGTTAAAATGACTTACCCCAAATTCTTCAGAAAACAAAATAGTTTGTGTTTTGTTCTCCATATTTTCAAGGAGGTCCAAAAAAACCCATGGGTAGATTTCATTTATAAAATTTTAACCTCTTTTGGGTTCTCTAACATTTGGTATGAACAAAGTTCCATTGACAGAAATTGGATACTTGTAGCAGTGAAGCAAAGATTAAGAGATCAATTTATTCAAAAATGGCATAGTGATATTAATAATTCATCAAAAGGTCAAATTTATAGAATTTTTAAGAGTGATTTTGGATGGGAAAAATATCTCAGTATTTTACCTAGTAAACTCCAAAAAATACTAATAAAATTTAGAACCTCAAACCACCACCTCCCAATTGAAACTGGTAGATGGTCAAATATTCCATTAGATGAAAGAGTTTGTAAACTGTGTAATACAGGGCAATTAGCAGACGAATTTCATTTCATTTTAGAATGTAAAACATTGAATAGTATCAGAAAGAATCTTTTACATCCCAGATTTTGTAAAACGCCTAATACACTTAAGTTTTGTGAAATTATGTCAACGACAAATTTAAAATCTTTAAAAAACCTTTGTATATTTATTTCTAAAATAAATGACACCGTCTGTCCTCCATAATTTAATGCTACCATACCTTCTTTTTTTATTATTATTCTTTTTTCATTGTATGTTTATTGTTATACTTTGCACATAAGTTATGCCTATCATTTATGCTATTGTATAATAATTATATTTATTATTTTTCTTACAACTATGACGACTAATTTATATATTGTACCTCATGTACCACTGATGTTGGTGTGAGTGAAATAAATGAACTTGAACTTGAGTTTTTGCGCCCTTTTCCTGGACTATTCTATTGAATGAAAATGAAAACTGCATGAATTATATAAAGTCTGTTCTTTTTTGTCTGAATCCTGGTCGAGCTTTGGAAAAAAAACATATCGGTGATATTGTGAAGTGAGTTAGAAGTTACATCATTTAAAGTAATAAAAACGAAACGAACAAAAACCTGATAAGAGGATGTACTGGCCAAATATACATCTGATCATACCCCCCCCCCCTCCAGGGGGTTTCCTCCACAGAGTATAGAATTATGAAAGTGTCCTCTCATATTTCAGGATTGAGAAAGTTTATAACTTTTTGCTCGTACAAATATTTTTGATGTAGACCCTTCATCCTTGGGGAAAAACTTCCTGAATCCGCACCTGTCGCTATTCGTATATCGCCGTATAGTTTGTTGGGTCATTTAAGCATATAGGGCTTTAATTATTTAGCCCACGTTTCCAACAATCTTTGATGCTCTGGCAAACCCAAGAAACTATTAAACATATTCTGCATGTGAGTCATAACCGTTACGATTCCCAATTTCTTGTAGTTATCATATTTTCAGCTGTCTTCCTCAAAGTCTATGCTGTGTGCAGTTGAATCTAATTTATGTAACCTTTACATGTAGCCATGATTTCCAGCATTAATCAATTACATTAGTGTGTTCCCTTATTTACTTCATCCTCTAAAACCATTTTTAGACTCGCGGAGTGAGGTGTTCATCTTACTTACGTCGCGGGTTCGAATCTACCGCGGGACATGTACACGATTTCATTTTTTATTCGAGATACAAACAATATATACGTTTTATATAAAATGGTCTCCTTTTTCATTGCTATGATGAGATCATATACAGCTTAAAATGAATGCATGATGTTTTGTGCAACATCTTCATAATTTACTCTTATGAAATAATTTACCCCACCTCCCCCAATGTAAACGTTTATAACTTATCATGCTTATAGGCTCTACAGATATTGATGGTATTAGCCAGGCAAGCTTTTTACAAAAGCTGTTACTTGTGAGGTACAAGTATGAACAACCTTGGATCACATTGGGAGGCATACAATGAAAATTGTTGCATGAAAAGAGTTCAATTTCAAGCTTTAATTTGAGACTTTTCAAATTAAATTATAAATTAAAGAGTTATCCTTTCTGGCTGAGGATCGGATATCCTTAAATCAGAAAATCCTAATTTAACACCGTTAAGACTAGTAGGAGTTCTTCAGCATTAACATTTGCGACGGAAGAGCTATTTATGAGCTTGAAGTTAAGTTTCATTATTGTCGTACATAATACTATACATTTGATTGTGCAGGTTTTTCTTTGGAAAAAAAAAACTTAATATTCTATTTTAGTCTAATTGATCTCAAAAATTTAAATTACATACAAATTCTTTATCATAATAACACATTTTAACAGCAAAATAAAATTCCCAAAAATACGGCTCATATTGCTTTAAAGTAGACTTAATCGTTCTCTATCAAAGCAAATAATTGTTTCAATACATACCACCTAGACGAAATCAAAGATTCAAACTCAAGTCAAAGTAACACATGTACAATCAAAAATTAATGTAGATTACCCTCGTGGTCTTAATAACATAAGTTTACATTACTTTAAAGAGGCAGACTGCTCGACATTTAAAAAGGGCGGACAGCATTTATAGGCAATCTCCTTTAAAACATGCACAAAAAGTTTCCTCATTAAGGATACATAACACAAAAATTTAATTTATGGAATGATATATACTATATTTTTGACTGATTTTGAATGGAAATAAATAATTAATCCATGAAATATGTTTTTTTTTTTTTTTTGGTATTTAGATACGCGATTTTATATCTTTTTCTATGTAATTCTTAAAAAAAAAATCTACACATCTTTTTGACTTTGTGATTTTTTTTTAAAACTCGTCCACTTTACCTGAAAAAAATATTATTCAGATTATCTTTTTAAATATTTATCTCTGAGAAATATTACTGATATCTGAAAAAAAGTGTTTTGTGTTATCTATTCCTTAATTCAAAAGTAGGAGTCTACATGGAAAAATGATTTTTGACCCCCTTCCCTTCCAAAAAGGTTGACTTCTCTTAAGATCTTAATAAGAAAAACAATGTAGCTAAGCACAGACGGTTATTTCTGCTTCTTTATGTCTGTACGACATTTATTCCACGGTTTAAGAGTCTTAATTCTTTTTTCTGCTAACAGATTTTGGCACTTGACTCCCTAAACCACTAAATTCTATAGATATTTATTCGCTTATAACTGATATGAAACTGATCATTTTTGCTGATTATTCTTAAAACTACCAACAGATAAAATTTTATTTCATAAACAAATAAAATAGAAATTTTAATTTTTCATACCTTTATACTGGTCTTTAGTAAGGAGAGACATTGGACCTCACTTTGAATTACCGGAACCAGATATAGCTACCATCGAAGCAACGGGTGCTTTAGATTTGTACCTGAAAATAAAAAAAATCAACTTTTATCAAGGGAGGAAAGCGTTAGGAAAATCTGCAAACCTGAAAGTATAAAACCCAGCTTAAATCAAAAAAGGTAGGATTTAAATTAAATTATAAACAGTTCACTTAAAATTCATGTTTTTAGAATATATTGCACATTTCACTCCAGCGCGCACAGTTACAAAAATTATCACATTTTTTGTTGTGTACTCTAAACAAAGCTTATTGCTCTTTTCATAAACATTTAAGATACTATCTTTGGAGGAAATATTTTGTTGAGATAAGATGTAAATAAGAGGTGCATGAAAAGAATAACTCTAGGGGTTTAAATCTTCATAATGTACAAAGTACTTAATAAATGTACAGTGATTCTATATACATGTAACTCAGTTGTTTGATAGGATAAAAAACACGTATTGTCCCTTTTGTTAAATATTCCGCACATACTTACATTTTAGGAGAAGATACACATTACCAAAGAGTTTATTTCAACTTTTTTTTTTTAACTTTACTTCTTATACCTTCTGCATGGTCATGTCTCGGATTCTTAACTTAGATATTACAACTGAATTCTGCTAGGTGTCTGTGGGTACCAAGTTTCAAAGGATAATAAAAATGTAAACTTGCTTTTAACTTTTGAATAGATCGGGTATTAATATAATATCAAAAATGAAGTTAAAATTTAAAAATCTTTAAATCAAATATTTAAGGTTCTCTCAAATTATTAAAAAATAAAGTCCATTTATATTATATTTCCAATGAAGACTAAATTGAAATCAAGCTTTCAGTACATGTATGACAAATTCGATCTTATGTTAATAGAAACACATGCATATATAACATTGATGTAAAACTGGTATCAAGATCTCAGTTATATAAATAATACGTGCCTGTCCCGTTAAGTGAACTAAATAAGTCCAGGATCTCCTATGTAATCTTTTGCATATCACAAACAAAGCCTTTGTGTAATAAACATAGCACGTAACTTGAAGAAAATGGCACCGTTTCTGAGAGGAAAGATAAACGTTAAAGGTCCTTATTTTTAATACCCAGCAAGTCCTTTAATTCAAATCCCTTCAATTTACTACACTTACAAAAAACTAAATGGATTGGTAATTAAGTTGGTGTTAATCGTTTGATATACATCCCTTTTTAAAATACCAGAGGATTTGTATAATGAAAAAGAGATTAACTGCTTTTTCAAGTTTTCTTGAAATCAAAAATTTAGATCTTTTGGAGTTCTCTTGTAGCTACAGCACTATTGGATAAAGGATTAGATCGGAAGGAAACTTTCATATGAAATTCACAATTTGCAAGAGAAAGAGGCAAAAAGAAGACATCTGAAATTTATATGAAAATTTATG